TGTAGAAAGTTTTTTAATTTTAGTTGAAAGCTTTTTATTATCTTTAGGAATAATAATAGATGTTGTTGCATTATTTTCTTTTAGTTCTTGTATTTTGCTTAAAAGTTGTTCATTTGTAAGTTTTAAATCTTTATTTTTTACTTCTAATGATATATAATTAGAGTTTTGATAATCTAAAAGTTGTCTTTTTAGTTCTTCAATTTTATTTTGTAGTTCTCTGTTAATAATCGATAAGTCATTATTTACAGTTTTAAGGTCATTATTTTCTTTATTTAGATTAATTAATCTTTCTGATAATGAAGTTGTTGTTATTTTAATTTATTAAAAAAAGTTAAGAATAAAAACAATATTTATATAAAAAATTAAAATATAATTTATAAAAGAAAACAGATAAATTTAAAAATCTAATAATAGAATCTATAATACTAATTATTATTTTATCAAAGTTATATAAGATTTGTTCTTTCATTTCATCAAGAATATAATTGATAAATTTTTCTCTGTATTTTTCAATAAGTTTTTGAATTCTATCAATAAGTTTTTTAATTTAAATATCTGTAAGTTTACTAACTAATTCTTTCATTTTATCAAATGCAATTAATTGTTTTTCATCTCTAGTTTATCACGAACAGTATCTTTTAATAAAAGATTTTTAATATGTTTTTTTAAATATTGTTCAATTTCACTTTCTTTGAATTCATTTTTACAAATTGGACAACTAATAAAATTAATAATAGATGTTGTTATTACACTAAAAGGTTTTATAGTTAAAGAAAGAATTGGTTTACTTGTTGTAGGTGTTTTAGTTGTTAAAATTTTTAGAAAATTAATTGGTCTCAGTAGTAAAAAAGTAGGTATAATTAGTGAAGTATTAATTGTTGTAAATTGTTGTCATAGGATTAATAGTTGTGATTAGAGTATTAATAGTTGTAGTTAGAGTATTAATTGTTGTTGGAGTATTAATTGTTGTTGTAGGTTAATTAATAGTTGTAGTTGGAGTATTAATTGTTATTGTGGGTGGTTGTCTATCATTATCTTTAGGTGGAGGAATTGGTATTAGATTTGGTTTATCTGTATTGTTTCTAAATATTATTAATTAAATAAAAAAAAGCAACACAAAATTAAAAATATTTACTTTTTTTTTTGATGTTCTTTAGAATCTTCTTCAAGTTTTGTTTTAAATCTCTAATTTCTTCTCCTAATCTATTAATAGCCAAAGCAGAATTTTAATTAAGATCAATCTATCTATATAAATAATTTAATTCTAATACAGTTGTATAAGGTCTTTTAAATATATAGCTTTATGTCCTGGTGCAAAAACAGTATCAAGATTATATCTAGATCTTTCATCTAAATTAAACATATATTTCAAATATCTTAATGATTCATTAATATCCAATGCTGTTATGAACCAGAAGAATCCTGTATTAAATTGAACAAATACATTTCTATCTACATTAGATAAATGAGTAATACACCATTGTTTTTCAATTTTTTATATAAAACAGAATATTTTTTTATAGTTATATTTTGAACAATTGATTTGTTTAATTTTATTATATACAACATTATAATATCTTTTGATTGGACTATTATTAAATTATTAATATCTTTGAATACATTTTCTGATAGTAAATAACTATTATTTGGTACTTGAGCTTGACTGATAGGTAATTCGCAACTAGTTTCTACTTGAAGAATTATTGCTTTAATATTAAAATTTTTTTGAATTGGATTGATTATATATGTATTACCAGCATCTGTACCTCTTTGTACTCTAGCTAATGGAAATTGATATTTTAAAATTCTTGTTTGAGACTATCAGTTTGAAGTGAATTTAATATATTATTTCTATGACCAAAGATATTTAAATATAAAATTTGATAAAAATCTAACATATATTTAGTTCCTGTGTTTGCATTAAAATTTATATCTTGAAATAATAAAGTCGAAGAGTAATAAAGTTGAGGCTATCTAAGTAAAGTATTTTGTCTATCTGATATTTGTACAGGTGTTTAAAGATTGGCTCTTCAACTTTTTCTTTGAATAAATGAATTATATTTTGCTTGTTCAGCTGAATAATCTTTCACTCCACAAGTTCTTTTAAGTTCTGTTAATTGTTCACCTATTGGGATACAGAAACTCACTTGTAATCTAGCTATTTATTCTAATTCTATTGTGTAAATATTTTTATTTGTAGCAGAAAAGCAACAGATACAACTTGAACAACAAGGTCCTGGTTTGTTGGTATAACAACACTTACAACTATTATTACAATTTTTATTTTTTTCTATATTAGTTTTTTTTACTATTTTTGCTGCTATTTTTATTGGTGTTTTTATTATTTTAGATATTGTTTTTTTTGATATTTTTTTTGTTGCTGTTGTTTTTTTTAGGTTTAGTAACCGATTTTCTTTTTCTTCATTTGATTGGAGCTACTTTTATTGATATTGTTCAACAAATTAAATAATAAAAGTAATAGCTTTTGTGATCACTGTTGATAAAATTTGTTTGAGACCTGAGATTGAAATAAATTCAAAAATTTCTTTATAGAAATATGCAGTGCCAAAGATTATTATAGATAAAACAATAATAATTTCTAATAAAATTATAATAAATAGAAAATTATAAAGGTTTGATTTATCCATATAGAAGAAATAGAAAAAAAAATTCTTAATGGTTCTATTTATATTTTTTTGTATAAATAGTTGAGTTCTATGTATTGAGATTAGTAGTAAAAATGCAATTTTATTTTTTTGTTTTATTTTTGTTAATAATTTTAATAATTGGTAAAACAACAAGAGTAACAAGATACATTAAAAGTAAAAGACCACAAAAAAATATATTCAAAAATGCAGTTGCAAATTATAAAATCTTTCATCATTTTGTTGATAATATATTTAATTTTTATCACAAGTGATTCATGTGCTGCAAGAACAAGAAGAAGAATTAGTAGAATTAAACAACCAAAAAGAGTTGGAAGATCAAAAACAAGAAAAAATAGTCTAAGAGTAGTTGTACCAAAACCAAAGAGTCTATGATATGCTTAAACACCAGTATTAGCTCTACCAGATACTACAATTGATAAGTTAGTAACTTGGAGATCAAGAAAATATCAAGATGTATTAAATAAAAATAAAAAGGTTACAAATCAATATAAAGAGGCCTTTATGTTAAGAGAATTATAAATGGTCAAGTATAATATTCTCCAATTCATAAATTAATTAAAATGTTACCAACACCAAGATCTAGATCTAGATCTGAAATTACTAAATAAAATAAATTGATATATGAAATATTGAATTAGAAACTTCAGCATAATGATAATTTCCACTATATTCTGCACTATTCTCTGTATCATCTACCACTTATAATTTTGGTAGATAAAGACATACATAACTATGAAATTACTAAAAAGAATAAATTAATAGTATGCAAATAATTTATTATTTATATTAATTTAGTAATACATTTTGAATAAATTAAATACTTTATAAATTTATATTATCAAAATAAAGATAAAAAAACATAGAATTTTCTTTATAATCATTGTATTTATTACTTAAAATTTTGTTTATCAAAATAAAAAAAATATTTATCTAATAAAAATTAATCTTATTAAAAAAATATTTTAAAATATTTAATAAAATCTTTTTCATTATTGTATTTATGGTCCTTTTAGGATTATTTATTATATATCTTTTCACTAATGAATATTAAAAAGATATTTACTATTTTTTAAAAAAATCTTATTATTCAGATCCTTTCTTTTTCATTTCTGTAGTTATTATTAATATAATAACTACTATTATAATAAATGCTCTTTATCAATTTTGGTTTTGAAATACGTTAATTAAAACTTTTCTAGAACAATTTATTTTTTAAAATTGTTCATTATCACCTCTATTAGATTTCCTAATATTGAGTAGACCTGGGTCTTAAGAAGCTTTCAGGAGCACACTATAGAAAGAATTTGGGTTGAAAAAATAGTTATTGACAATTGAGAATCTTATGTAAAAATAGTTTTATATTATATATAGCTATATAATCATATTGATTTTTTTTATATAGTGTTAATTTAAAATTAAAATAGAATATTAAAAAAAAATACAAATATATTATATATTAAAATATTTATGAAGTCGACAATAATTATCTTAATATATAATATATTTGTTTTTTTTTT